TAAAAAGCCCCACAACGCGGGCCTATTTTGGATAAAAGCGGGCGGCTACATTCATATGAACGCATAGTTTTACTACTATTAGGGGGTATCTTCGGGAAAAGACGAATAAAAAAGTTCATAAAATTGAAACGAAAAGTGATCGACCTGTCCATAATCTTGAATTTCCAACGAAAAAATGAAGGCCAACCTCTTCGCGAGGTTCAAGAGTCAGTGCTATTTTGGTCTACGGGTGCGTATTTGGTGTAATGCAACCATAAGACTCAGTGGGTCCGAGCTGACTCGAGGTGGGTCCGAAACGGCGTGGGTCCGAGTTGGCGTAGGTCCGAGTTGGTTGTGGGTCTGAGATGGTCGTGGGTCCGAGTTAGTATTGGGTCCGAGTTGGCGTGGGTCCGAGTTGGTCCTCGGTCCGAGTTGGCAAGGGTCCGAGTTGGAATGGGTCCGAGTTGGTTTGGGTCCGAGTTGACCTGATCCCTTTTAAACACCCCCTCAGAAAAATCAATGGTAGTTAAAAATTGAGACTTTTTTTTGCTGGGGGGCAGGGTACATTGTTTAATACCAATCAACCTTATCTCCATTTTTGAAATGAATAATAGGCCTATTTTATTTGTAAAGATTGGGAATAACATTGACGAAAGGATAAGTGAAAGGTTTCAGAAAAGTTGAAAGTGGTTTTACCATTGCTCAAGAAATTAATTTAATCAAGCAGCACTGAACGCAAAAGCATTTTTGTTCTAAATATTATTTCCCCCCCCCACAGTCTAGCAACAAGGCTACAGTATTCAGCAAGATACCTGGAGTCTTGAAGTACACTTTCCTCTTCAGTGTCAGCTGCATAGTTCTTCATGTCGTCATTGTTCTCTTTGGAGCTGCGGTCCAAGAGTAAGAAACCATCAGGAAATACCACAGAAACTTGTAAAAATCCCTTTGTCTCATTAACTGTCTGGTGATTTACTGTGGATTCCTGTATGTCTTCTCACTGTTACAAAGTAAAACTAACTCCAAGGCAACCCCTTGAGTTTCATTATCCCACCATCTACAAAAAAGGCCAACAAAATGAAATCTAAAAGTGCAAAATGAAAGAATGTGAAGATTTAATCACCTTCATTGTTTATTACATTTTTGTTAGGGTTGTCGAAGAGACTTTTATATTGGCTGTCCTACTGTCTACGTTGAGCACCCTGCCTTGTCTCTGTGTATTAGGCACCAACGGTGAGGTATGGAACCGCTTCACTGCACAGAGAAGGTCAGTAATTTACCGTGCCTTTCCTCTGCCAATCCAGCTTTCTTCGTCACGTAAACATCATGAAGGTTCTGTACTGGGTCAGGTGGGCTTAGGAAGGAGTAGGGCAAAGATTACACCGAGTGACAGACACCATCCAGATCTAGAACATTTCATCACAACCTGGATAATCAACTGATTTGGTTTTACCTGGCCTAAATATTCACTTGTACTGCTAACAGTCAATAATCTCCTCACAGACCTCACCCAGGACTAGAGACTTGCATCCAGTATGGAGCTGTGGCTAGCCTGCTTGGTGCTTGGATGGGGGCTTTCACCATACCCCTAGACTGGGACAGACCATGGCAGGCAAGTGTGTCAAAAATAACTCATTGTAGAGCAAGCGGATAAACCTTTGGCTGTGAAGAAGTGAAGTCACTGTGTTACGACTCCATTAACCACTTGCTGCTGGGTTCAATTAAAATGGTCGTGTACAAAACAGGCATTTTTCATGATTTTCTGTTTTCAAAATTCTTTAAAAATTCATTACTTCTTTAACTGGACATTTACACCCACAGGAACGACTGTCTGGTGGCTACTGTAATCTGACAGGCAACGTCTATTGACACTGTGTATTTCAGCCAGGCCTGCTGCCTTGTAAAGAGAGCCCAGATTGTGCAGTGTTGCATAATTTTCTTTTGTTTTCAAACTAGAGCAGGTTGCTGCTGGCGTCTCTTTTAATGGGGCCAGATTAGCGTGCAGCAGTATTGTATCGCTCAGCACTGCAGTGCTGGAGAGCTTTCGTCCATGGTTGTAATCCTTCGTATTAAATGCCACAAATAGTGGTATAGTGTCTCAAAAAAAGGACAGATTACCTCCGCCATTGACAACTGAACAAATGCTCTTCAAGTCCCACCAGCTCGTTGTTTTCTTTTGTTACAAGACCCGGCTCCTTTGTCTGAATTTGGGCTCCCCAGCTATGTGTAAAAACATGAGGTACCCGTACCGGGTCCCCAGGCGCGAAGTGGTTAACAATTTATTAAGATAAAAAAAATCAACCGCCTAACAAAAACTTTACTGTTAGATTTTCCATCAGTCAGTTTCTTTCCGTTTTTACCAAACAATATTTTTGTTGGATCTCTCCTGTGACAGGTGTGGCCCGTGCCATGTGCCATTGGGGCATTGTTAGGCCACACAGCTGGCATGACGGTCGGACTGATTCATCTGGTATCCCTGTCATCCAAGCAGTACATCAAGGGAAAGAGCAAAAACTTCCGAGATTGAGCTTGCTAGAAACTTAGCCTCTGCAAGCTAGACCTACTTAAGATGAACTTATCCTTGGGGACAGTGAGATGACGACGCGCGCAACCGTTGCCATGGTAGTGAGGATCATAAAGCAGCGTGCACAGTGACCCTCCAAAGTGCGATTTTTGTTACCCCCTGGCGTTGTAGATACAGTGAGGTCAACCTTAGGAAGCAACTGAAGAATCGGAAATGAGCATTCATGAAATGCCACATGGACACTCTGCTCCAGAATGTACTCATGGGGAAAAAATCGAGGTCATGTTTCATGTCCCAGTTTTTGAGGTTGAGATTTTGTAACTTTTCTTTTGTGAAGCCACTAGTGACTAAAACAATTTTTATGCAATTTCCAATCAGAAGAGACCAGCGAAAGTTAGAAAAAAAATATGCTACTGCCAAAATACAGGGCAGGCACAGATAGGCCGAGGCAAAGTAAATGGTTTCCCCCAGAAGGAATATTTGGCCCTCCCCTCTCCCAAACAGGACAGGTTTTGTCCAGATATTGATTGAAAACACTCCGAGGTACAAGACATTTTTTCGTGTGCCAATGTTTTTCTGGTAGTTAATCTTTCAATTTAAGCAAGACACAAACCGGGCTCCCCAGCAGGAAGTGGTTAACCATGTCAATAGCAATGTGTAGAGCCATTTTGTATAAATATTTGAGACAAGTATCTCAATGTGCAGCTGGAATCGAATGATGGATTGAAGACTTCAAAAGCGCCACTTCCTTTTAAATCATGGTTCTTAGAGATTTAAATAAACCCAAAGTTCAGGCAAAATGCATATCTTTCATATCAATTTTATTATGTCTCAAGTTATATCCACACACTGTTACTAGAAAAAAACAACTCCTGTTGATAAAGTATCTTATGTACAGAGTGGACATGCCACAGAAACACCAACATAAATCACACTGTTAAAGAAAGGCTGTGCAGAAGAAATAAATTACAGCAAATACAAGTTCAAACATTCAAGCAAAGCAATTCTTACCAAGGATATTTTTTGACCTGTATGTTGGTCACAAAACTCTACAAGCTATTGTCCTTTTAAAATAAAATAACTGCAGCAGTTTTGCTAGAGAAACACCTCCCGACATGTGAAAGTACCACCTGTCCAAATTGTTTGTGCAGTACACTTTTCTTTTCTGACGTGGGACTTAACAACAGATCTTTGCCAATATGCAAAGTTAGCCAAGCACAGATACAGCACCACATTTCCATCAGTGCGTGCTTAGAGCTCAAACTGTGTCACTAATGACCTTCAAAGAGTCTTGCAACAAGTGATTTTCAGATTTTTACTGAAGGAGAAATGGGGGGGGGGGTTTCCAGTATCTTAACAGCTGCAAATGACATTAAATAAAACCCCCCCCCCCAAAAAAAACAAATCAACAAACTTTTCCATAAATAAACTTTTCATAAACTACAAGCAGGAGATAATGGTCAACATATTACTCAAACAAATCACGCTGCAGTTCCATTGGCTCTGAAACAGTAGCAGGTTTGGATTTAAAAAAATTCAGTGTTCAAAATTGTTTGTCCTTGGCTGTTTTCAAAAGAGAGGCCCCTGGTTATGCAAGGGTAACCCACACCCCATGGCACTCTTGCCAAGTGGAATTTCTGAAGCCTTCAAAGTCCATTACTGTGTTGGTGAGGGAATTGTTGGCTCTGTCCAAATCACTTGGTTGTGGCTGGAACTTACACGTGCACCTATAAGCAATGCATGAAGTCACTAGCTAGTGGCTTAAATATGTAAGTGTATGTAATCTTTTCCAGCCACAGCCTAGATTTTCAGCCCCTGCCGATGGCACATATCTTGTGCCTATAACTTAAGTGGGATAATCAAGCCAACACGAAGATACCACTTGTTCTGCATAACCTCAAAAAATTCCAACATTTGTACATAAGTAAATGACCTAAGTATGAAAGAGCAAAGGTTCATGTTACCGTGTCGAGATCCATCAGAATATTCCAGAAAGCAGGTGTATGAATTTTGGCAGCTGACTGACGGGTACCCTATTCTTTAACCTGAAAGTATTGATTTATAAGTAGAACAGGTTTCAATATTGATGCACTGTCGAACCTTGTTAATAAGAGGTCCTTTGGACTTGGACAATTACCTTGTTATCACAGGAACCTTGTATTGTCAAGAATGAAATCCATGAAAAACCAAGGATTGTGACCTAAAAAAAAGTCCTTGTCACAAGCAGAATCTTGTACAATGTATTAACAGTGCCCTTATTAACAAGGCTAAGCAGTACAAACATTTTGATAAACCTACCTGTCAAGGAATCCTGATCATGAAAATGAAATCAAAGTAAACCTTGCGCTACATTTCAGCAGTGGTGAATTTCAGAAGAAAATGCACTGTAAATGTGCAATATGTAGGCTGATTGTGTGCTGTACTCTATTTGATGGTGTTCCATGGTTAGTTTTCAGTAACATTCAGAAACAATACAATAAAATGTTTGAGATCAGATAGCAACCTGCTTACACATGCACCATATCATTAGTAAAAGAAATGGCTTTGGGATATTCATCAGCTCTCATCACTGTCATCACAGAAAACTGAAAAAAAAAAGTTGTTTCCTTATCCCTCAATGTAAGTAAGATAACATGCTATAACTAAATATAAATAAATACAACATTAGAACTTAAAACATAACAGTGAATTCAATAGCAGTACTATTTTATATTACAACACAGCTCACAGTGTGCATAAAGAAATTAAGATGTGCCTGACAAGAAAAAGGATAGGATTTGAATAAGAAAACTAAACTAAACTCTGTCTTGCATAACGGTGTGAAACCAACATAATTAACATTTGATACTATTAGTTCAGGATATTTCAAATTTACTTAAACTTAGAAACATATATTTTTTTGCACATTTTCTGGTATTGTCAATTCTTTGGCATCGCATCCTTCATATGTCTTAGTGTGTTCACACCGCAAAAACCCAATAAGGGAACTTGACAGAAAATGATCCAAGAAGAAAGCTGCAACATTCAGGAAAAAAAGGGCTTTACCCAGAAGCAAGTAATATGTAACTAGCATGCATCGGTAAAAAAAAACAGCAAAAAATGAACACTTATAAGTGCATTGGTCAGAATATTTTGCCTCATGGAATGGAACATTCCATATGTCTGATCATAAAAGTATTCTTTCCACTGCATAATCATGAAACATTTTAGGCAACACCTGAATAAATCTTGCTTTTTTCAGTCCAGCTTAAAATCACAATTTATCTTGTGTCCTCCAAATTGCCCTAATCATTTGACAGCATATTTAATTTGTTTCTTTATATTAGAGACATCAGCATCTCTTTCAAATCCAGAAATCTCTCCAGCTGTCAGGAAGGACCTGTGTTTTGTCTTACTGTCTGCCATATTGCATTTCAGTGTAAAAAGCAACATTAAAGATAACACTGATATGTTGAATGAGCCTACAACTGGTCACCAGTTGACAGAATAAGTCAATGACATGTGACTAACAATCAACCAATCAGATAACCTGCATTTATCCAGGTGTTGTATACCTATATTAGGTGCTCTCAGTTGTCTCAAATTTCTCACAAATATTGAAGAAGAGGAAAGGCAAGATAAAACATACTTTCTGAAAAATAAAATAATCTAAAAGGAAGTTCATATTTCTGGGGCAAAATCTTTGTCTACTGAGTCCAAAGAAGTAAATCCTTTAGGAGTTCAACATTAAATACCCTAAATATTAATTTGTTTTCAATAACTAGGGGCACTGAAGTCAGAGCAGATGTAGACATTGTGTAAATAAACATTCACAAAAAAAAAGTTGATGGTGAGGATTTCATGAGGAAATTCAGGCCATCTAAAGGACCAACAAATCACAAAATTTACAAACAACGTAATTACTGCCACAGTGATGAACTGCTGACACAACAGCTCATGGAAGACCAATACCAGACCTTCAGTCTGAATTTCAAGTCACAAGCTATTCAAATGAACTGATAACAAAAACATTCCTTTGCCACTGTTACTTGTGACTGGTCTTGTGATAGTCATGACCACAACATGCTCAAGAGGTTGGCGACGGTCAGTGTGGCTTATTTCACTGCCACATCTCATTTCACAACTGCCATAAATTGAACTTTGTACTTCCCTCAACAGGGTGCCCAAGTTATCTGCCAATAGAGTATTTGGTACTTGGACTTTTGAAGATTCCAATCACCAACCACTTTTTCTTTTCTTTTTTTCCGAAGAAGAATGCAAGGAGGATTTCAGGTTGGGCACCACGGTAGACACTGGCACCACCATGGTGAAGAATGCTATAGGTAGTTGTTGTCAGGGTCCTTGTCTCTCTTGCGATGTCTCAATTCTTCTCCATCTCGCACCAAGGGTCCGCTGGCAATCTCCTCCCCGATGTCAGATCTCTCTTCACTATCAGCCTCTTCAACGTCATCCCTGAGCTCTTCGTGGACATGCTCTCCCACTGCTTCGGCGACCTCCTCCCCTGGGTCATCCTCAGCCTCGTCCTCCAGCATGCCAGGCTCTCCTTGAATCGAGGAGGCCTGGTCCGGGGGCTCTCTTATGCTCCCATTATCAGCTTGGTCTGACTTGATGAGGACCTCCCAACCTCCGTCGGATGACCCTTCCCCGTTGGGTGCTCTCAGCGTGTCCAGGATGGAGGAGGTTCTGTCTCCGTTGGACATACCGTCCACGCTACTGATGCCTGAGCTGTGTGACTCCTGATCCTCTTGAATCTTGAAGCCCCGCTGGCTGACCACGGTAACATTTTTTGGCCGGCCTCTAAGAGCTGACAGAACCAAAGAAATACAATTGAAACAGAGGTTCTCAAATCTAAGTAAGTGTTGAAAGACTTTGCTATTCTTTCTCTAGACTGTTAAGATGATCAGCTGAATTTTAAAAGCCTGCTTTGAATAACAACGACTGTGATTCTTGTTGAAAATGAAAGTAAAGAAGTAAATGTGATAAAGACCGAGAAAAAAACTTTTCCTAGTCTATGTCTAGTTTCACTTTGTTGATATCACTGTCAAATGACATCTTTTTTAATCCATAAAGAGATATAAACGTGGAATATCCAGGTTTATACCTTATCATGGGGTTGCATATTGTAAAATTACCCATCCCCGGCATGGTTATCACAAAGCAAATGACATCTTTTTTAATCCATAGAGAGAGATAAACGTGGAATATCCTGGTTTATACCTTATCATGGGGTTGCATATTGTAATATTACCCATCCCGGGTACAGTTATCACAAAGCACCCACGACACATTCATGAATCTCAGTTATCAGTGATGGGGTCACTGACGACTAAGCAATATCACAGCTCGGTACATACACTTCAATATTTCCCCTATTTTTCATCTACACAATAACCCCCACTCCTTCCTGCCCCACCCATCCACTCCCAAATACGCGCCTATTTTATTTGATATATTTTATAATATATGTAGACACAGTTTAGTTTATATGCATCTCTACACATTTTGAGGAAAAAGTCACTATTTATCCTGCATTCCTTACAGACTAAGGCACAACGTGACAACACTCCTATCCCAATCTACTATCAATGTGGTCAGCTTTATCATAACATGACCACACTCCTATCCCAATCTACTATCAGTATGGTCAGCTTTATCATAACATGACCACACTCCTATCCCAATCTACTATCAGTATGGTCAGCTTTATCATAACATGACCACACTCCTATCCCAATCTACTATCAGTGTGGTCAGCTTTATGAAGACCTGTCTTTTCCTGTCTTCTGCATTAACCCTCCTATGGTTTTACAGCACAAATGTGCACGAGTGTCCACAGTCACTGG